ACTACAGAAGAGATGGCTCTTCTCCAGATTGCGATTTGAAAATGCATAGTTGTTAAACGACATTAAATCCTATCATCAAAGCATCAGTTCTGCAGTTATTAATTGAATGCGCATGCGACATCTAATGGAACTCAAGGGTTTGGTGGAAGACATCCGTGTTTTAAATTACGACGCTTTTGCTCTACTCTCAAGGGTGTTATAATTGTATTATAATAATCTTCGAGAGCGGGCATCTCGATTCATTCTCAGTTCTCCCAAAGGTCGAAAAATGGGCGTACTTCACATCGATATGACTGGCTAACTGACGCGTTCCGAATTGGTCTTGCACAAGAACCAAAATCGTGGCTACTCCCCATTACTCCCCATGCTAAATATTCCACTGGAGCTTGTTGGAGGCACATTCGCTTTGTCATGACGCTCCTTCTTCTCGCTGGTTCCTCTGTTCTTTGGCCGTTTGGGAATTGAGATGCATTTCACTATGAATAAACAGTTGATCACAAAGCACGGAGCGAACGCAGAAAGGGAAGTAGACATACGACGTAGAGGACTCAGATGTCCTTATGAATGATTTCACTTCAGCTAAGTGGAGGTCCGTGTGTTTTCCAGTCAGCAATTTCGTCCTCTCAAACTTCACCACCACTTAAAAAAGACATAATGTCTTTTACTTGCAAAATGGAAATCTTTCCATCAGTATTTTGTCGTGATGTGAATTAGCTATGGTTATCTTCCGCAGCTAACCACTCAGGTATAAATGTTCAAAATGAGTATTGACCGATAATGTAACTATTCAACTGCCAAATCGTATGGCAGTTGATCTTGTTATAAATGTACGGGAAATCATAAGGAGGACTAGAACCGGGTTCGCGCGTGGCACGACGCACCTTTGGCACGATCCTTGTCTCCTGCCTCTTGCCTGGTACAGTAGGCGAAACAGGAAGCAGCCATCACAAACAGTTGGCTTGGCATGTTTCCATAGTGACCAGTTGTCTGCTAGTGGGAATGGACCACGATCCTAATGCCTGTCATATTCATGAAGAAAAAACAACCTGTATAATATAGGCTACTGAAGTATGAGCGCACATCATTCATTAATTTATCATAATCAAACTTGCGTACATAAGAAATACTTGCTGTGATTTCATTTGGAGACCCTGTGTTTATTTCAATTACCGCATTTTCGATTGCGTATTTTGTAAACGTGACTACATAATACATTTATGTTCATCTCATTGATATCTACGTATGTATGGGCTACACCATGTATCCCCTTTCTTAACGATTGCTTAGACCTTCATGTTTTCTTTTGTGATCCTTACACATTATTATGCAAAAACACCCTTAGAACCTAATATTGCGAGCACGTCATAAAATATTATAGTGTGAGTGTTGATATGGGTGTTTTGAAGTGCTGTTGTTAAACAATTGATGAGTTTACGTAATGTAGCGAAACTCAGATGCACTGAGAATATCAGCCCCAAATGATGGAAACACTCGTGCCTGTGTGCATTGAATGATGCATCACTGTTCTTCAAACGCGTCCACGGTGACAGACAAGTAGATGTAGCATCAATGAAGTCTCACCTGTGTGAGGCAGTCGTATTTGTCTAAAATCATTTCTAGGTCATGCAGTTTCATAAGTTGGGTGGTTCTGTGTTATTAACGCTAATTGGTTTTTTCCCAAACCCCATAACCAGCACGATCCCTCCTCGACCCTCTCAGCTAGTACGCGTGCGCGGCGGTGCGGTGGGAAAGTCTGGAGGTAGCTAGTGTTGCGCCTCTGCAGGTCTAGCAAGCTCCGAGCGGCTCCTGCTCACTGCGCCTCGCAGCAAGCCACATGAACGAAGAGAGGGAGGGGCAGACTTAAAGCAAGCAAATCGCTTCCGTGGAAACAAAAAAATCACGACCCTTTTTGATACCCCATTGCAACACCAGCAATGTTTTGTGTCTCGGTCTGACAGTTGGTATGTTTTGCTAAAGCAAGAAGACAGGGCGCGGTGTAAAATACATGCACGTTTTTTTGTGAGTTGGGGGTGAGGAATTCATAAATAAAGGACCCCCCTCCTACCCTGCTTGCTGCAGCGTCTTTACGGCATAATTTCAAAGGGAAAAGCACTACGAAGCGCTAATCAACGCAAACAATGCGTAGTAGTACAACTTCCCACGGATCGCTGGTCTTGGGCATCACAACAGAGGATTGAGGGGAATATCGATCGGTCAGTAAATAAATAAATAAACTGGCGTGGATCAGTGCTTAAGATGTCCCTGTAGTCGTTGCTGGCTTCGGGAGAAGAGGCAACAGAGGAGAACGGAATATAAGTCTTGTTTCGGAACAGAAAGGAGAGGAGCAATTAAAAAAAGGAAGAGGTGGGTCTGTATGAGAGCGCAGGGCTGCGCTCTGAGCCGTTGGCGCTGTCCGTTCAGCACCACTGCCGTCACCTTGCGCTGAATGTCATCGGGCGCCTACAATCATTTCCCAGTCGACGGATCTGGGTATTGGCTTTCGGATTGAGGAAAAGGGCATTGAAATTTTCTTCTCTGTTTTTGGAATAATGGCTGTTTTTTAACGCTTCATTGTTCGTGCCACAGTGTTGAATGTAAACATTTTGGATATTTCTGTTTTTCCTTGGGCTACTGGGGGCAGTTACACGCCGGCGATTGCTTGCTATGACAACCACTTAAAGCAGCAGTCGAGGTGCTGATTGCCTCTATACAGGCTGTTGCGTTTTTGTCTATTTATTTTTCATTTTTAATTGGGGCTACATATAGCTTTCTCGTCTATTTCTCCAGTTATTGCCTGTGAAACATTTATTTGTCTTTTCATCTTTTCTTATCCCCCCTACCCCTCCCCTTTTTCCTTACCCCTTCCCCTTTCGCACGTGTCGTCCGGGTCCCAGAGGTTGCCCCCTGTACTGTTAGCGTAATGCCTGGAACTTATTCGAGACATGCCTAAGGGACGCAATGGGCCAAGGCGACGAGAACGATCGCATTGTAATAAACGTGGGAGGGATCCGACACCAGACTTACCGCAGCACCCTGCGCACACTGCCGGGCACCCGTTTAGCCTGGCTCGCTGAACCTGACGCGCACAGCCACTTCGACTATGACCCTAAGATCGACGAATTCTTCTTTGATCGGCACCCGGGCGTGTTTGCGCACATCCTCAACTACTACAGGACCGGCAAATTGCACTGCCCTGCGGATGTGTGCGGACCCTTGTACGAGGAAGAGTTGGCGTTCTGGGGCATCGATGAGACGGACGTGGAGCCGTGCTGTTGGATGACCTATCGGCAGCACCGGGAAGCCGAAGAGGCCCTGGATAGCTTCGGTGGAGGAGCCCTTGACATGGGCAATGAGGAGGCTGATGGAGACGGCATGGGGGACTCGGGAGACGGTGATGAGGAGCTTGAAATGACCAAGAGACTGGCGCTAGGGGACTCTCCGGATGCCAGGTCTGGAGGACTTTGGCGGCGCTGGCAAAAGCGCGTTTGGGCACTATTTGAAGATCCCTATTCGTCGAAATATGCAAGAGTGAGTAGGACCTCTTTACATTTCCTAAACGCATAAATAATTGTATATTACAGTCTGCTGGCAGTTGTGTCTCTCTTAAATAATAAATCACGTGTATTGTGTCCAGTTGTAAAACATTCACCGGTAGAATAGAACCATTATTATTGAAGTGGAAATTTCAATTGATCTCGTGTGTGTGTTTATGAGAAAGAGAGAGACAGATTGAGAGACCTGTTACACTGCGCAAGCTTGGCTTTCAGACCCTAACCTTGAAGTGATATTGAACAGCTGAAATTCATACTCGGATTATCTCATTATAAAGTAATTCTCCACCGACGTGATTGGGCGAAAGCAACCGTAAAACCTGCGGTTCACAGTCATGTTCCTGCGCGCTGGAACGGCTCAGCTGTACACATGAAAACCTCTTCATGTGAGCCTCTTGCTTCCAGTGCGCTAAGGTTCGATCTAAAGGAATGGCTTTATCTCTCACTATAATCATACATTTTGCAAAAAAAAAAATCGTCCCTCTAAGCTTCCACCATGGTAGAAATACGTTTTTTGAAATACGTATGAGGGTGGTATCGTTGTAGTTATAACTATTGCGTTGTCATGCAGCAAAATGTAAGCAACAAGACGCACTTATCATGTTCACTCTGTCTGGGCGTCTTGTTTCATTGATCAACAGCCTTTTTTTCTTCCCGGTGAGTTGTGTTACATGCAGGCGCCCCGCTCTGTTGCCGCGGGAGAGCTCACACACAAATTAATCTCACGGGGAGCAGATTACAGAGAATTCATCACCAAGCTAAGGGCCTCCATTATTTATATTCCCGTCCACCTCTGAGAAATGACACCCAAGGAGACAGTAAACTCACTTTTGACAACCTGTGATGCTTTGTTGTTTTGATCGTCAGTCGACAGTCTTTTGGTAAAGGAAAACTGTTAAATGATAACCTCCTGAAACCTCAAAAAGTCTTGGATGTCATTTCACTGGGACATTTTGAACATACAGAAGAAGCCACTTCTCTGGTTTGTCATTCTGATTACATCATTGTTTTATGAGCTCTCCGTATAACTTCCAAAATGTATACAAAGGGCATCATTGTTGGCTTGGCAATACAGTACTTGTGCACCCCTATACAACCCTTGTATTCAATTACAGCAGCAGAGAATACCTCAGATGTCAAAATTGCATACTAGACAATATGTTTGTTTCATTGTCAGAATAAGTGCTTGTATATTCAACACTCACACTGTACTGATTCATATATCCTTTTCTGACACAACAGTTTTTCATTGGCGTTTCAAAACTTCAGAGAGACTGGATTAGAGAAGGGCTGTGTGAACATGTTTAATTTAGCATTTTATGGAGGCCGAAGTTAAGCAGGTTTATGACTGGAACTGAAGTGATGAACCTGGTTAGAGCTCAGATGTGACAAATCCATGGAAAACCTAGTTGCTCCTGGATGAAGTATTGGAGGGAAGTTAAGACCTATGTAGTCTGTGGCCTGGTGGCTATGGTGCTTGGCTGGGACCCAGTAGGTAGGTGGTTCAAGCCCCAGCTACAATGAGACCAGTTCAGCTGTTGGGCCCTTGAGCAAGACTCTTAACCTCACATTGCTCCTGGTGGACATTGTTGGTGTAATCAACTGTGAGTTATGGAGGTATCAGTTAAATCATGGTCATGTAAAACTGTAGACTTGAATCTTAGCCAAGCAACTACATGCACGGGTGCAAGTTTAACTGCACATGAAGGTGTGTGTCTTCATGCTTGAAATTCATGTACATTCGCTGATTCAAATGCTTATCCTGTTACTTTACTTCAGGTCTGGCACTAAAGTGTGGAAGTATCGCATAGTAACTGTTTCATTAACCCTGGTGCAGACAGGAACACTGTGCATAAAACCAACTTCCTGGCTGTGGTTTTTCAAGATCTAGTGGCAAAGAGTCGAGGCTTTCAGGATGTGCTCAACAAATTCCAAACCGAAAATTCTCAACCTGCCTCTTTCCCCAATTTCACTACCAAAATGAGCTGTTGGATGCTTATCGCTGCATCCGGTGTGTGGTGAGCACTGTGGTTTAATATGGCTGCCATGAATCATTCAGATGGGTTCAACCTTCATTCATGAGTTGAACTTAAATGACTGGATAGAGAGACCATCGCAATGTAATTCTATGTAATACATATTTTCGTCAATGTTGAGGGAAGAACTTTGATTTTGAACAGGTAATAATAGCATTCTCTTCTTTACATTTCATCATTTTCTGCCAAACAACTGCACAGTCTGCTTCTGCCTTTGTGATAATTGGCTGTAAAGAACAACAGTGGATTATTTATTTATTAATGCGTCCTATATTTATCCAGGAAGACCTTTTGAGATTTCTCTGGGGAACTTGAATTATCCACACTGTTTCTATGGCAGTATTACAAGGACAAGACATGTACACAGGCATTAAGACATGTCTTTGCTATGTACATTGGGTAAACATGATCAAAGCCTGTACACCCTTACTTTACAGTGTCAAGAATCATACATCAGAGAACAATATAGAAATTTCTGGCCCAAGTTGAATCTTGAAATTATTTCTGCTTTTGTATGGAACATAATTGAAAGCCATATCCCTGGGTCTGGACAAGGTTGCAGAACTTTAAGAGCAAGACACTGATTCTGACAGTAGTTTCTGACAGTAAGTTTTCCAGTGATGGCTATGTAAATTAAAAGATAATAGATTTATTCAGGTTAAACCAATTCAACCAAAGACAAGACAGTGGTGAGTTTACGATGTGATATTTGTGATTTAATGCAATGCTTTGTGCTTCTCTCTGTCCAAAGCCCATGAAGAACTAGAGACAGCTTGCATATACATTGTGTCTCCGTGATCAATACGGAAAAGAAAAGCAGTTAGAACCAGTCTTTTGACCTCAAATATAAAACAGGATTCATTTCCAAAGTAAAAAAAAAACCCGACTTTTCTTTCAGTTTCAAAACAGTTTCACAAAAATGTTTTACATGTTATCAAAATCCTAGATACAATGACACATTCAATACATTTACCATTTCAGATGATAATTTGCAAGTCATCTGGTAATGGAGTACAACACATAGACACCACAGAGGTGTAGCTATCTGTGAGCAGTCTGAATAGAATTAAAAGCCTTGTAAGACTTGGGCTGGTGAAGGGGCAGAACATTAGTATGATATTTGTATACGTTCATCTCCAGAGGAGGCATCACTAAATCTAAATTGCGTGAATGAATAATAAATAAGACAGACACTGGGTCAGGGCTTTCCCCCAGGAATGGCAGGTGACTCGAAAGGAGAGGCCAAGCAACAAGCAGTGACAGCAGAAAGAAGCAACACTTCCCGCTGACTGGCGAATTGAAAACATGACTACATCATGTCAAAGTGCTTAATGACATATTTATTACAACATATCAATGCACATATAAATATTAACGTTAAAACAGTATTAACAGAGAAATGTTCACAATCGTGTGCAGCAATGGCACACTCCAAAGTACATTCTATGCAGTAAATTGCAGAGCAATGAATTAAGTAATCAAAACATATTAAATGTTTGATTTAAGTTTGAACTTGAAGAATTTTAACAATATTTTTAATGCATGAAAATTCTGCTCAAGAGAAACTGGGCACCTTACCTCTTGTTGCACAGGCTGTATGACAAGACAATGCGCAAACATAATTTTATTGTTTGCACATTTTTGGGGATTATCTTGTTCCATTTACATTGTGAATAAAAATGGCCATAAATAATGCAGATTTTCAGGATCCAATGTCGTTGTGATGATGGAGAGGAGGACAGGTTTTGGCATACCCTGTTCCTCATGTCGCTGATTGACGTCTTTCTCTTTGAGCATCTGACTGGGCATGTGATGTAGGACGCAACTGAGCATGTCTGGTGAGCCCAAATATTACACTTCCAGATTATTTAGTTATCCCCATAGACTTCCATTGGAGTCACTTTCATTTCATGTTTCATACTCCCAGCTCCTATCTTGCTGGATGAAATTTCCATTTTTATTCCCTAACCACTTAAGCTAAGGCAAGCAACTATTCATCTTTGTATTGATGCCATCTTTTCCCTGTGGCTGTTTGCTTTTGATGCCCGAAAGGTCAAAGCAGGGGTGGGGGGCAGGGTGGGTTGCTAGTGTTTCGGGGGGTGTATATGCTTAGGGGAATAGCACCCAAGACATCAAGATAATGAAGGCAAAACGTTATCCGTTGACAAGAGCTCAGGCTTCAAAGTAAAGAGAAGCTTTGTGTGTATGTGTGTATGTGTGTGTGTATGCGTGAGAGAGTGAGAGAGAGAGCGAGAGAAAGCGATATGATAGACGCTGCATTTATTTATTGATAACATAACATTAAAGCATGGAATAAAAAATGCATTGCTTAAATTGAGTACTACTTAGACTACTTAGTCAATCTGACTCTTTTGACTCTGCGGCCTTATACAGATTCCTTTAAGTAAGGCGTATGTCATACCTGGTTGCATACCCAACAATCTTCGGAAGATCAAAGAGGTGAACCATCGCATGGTTCTTCAGATGGGTGGTGACATTGCTGGCGACTTTTGGTATAAAAGATGAGTACTGGTGATGACAAGGCACGAGGAATGGATAAAATGGATTTAAAATGGTCTACGCTGCCACGATGGGGAAACAGCAGTATGGGGGCTTAGCAATGGTAGCGTACTGAACGGTCGAGTGTGACCAGTGTAGCCCGTTTCACATGCAGTCATAACAGTCTCCGGAAATCCTCAGTAAAAATACAGCTCCATTATTCCATATCGAATCCAGTCGATTCACACTTAGTTGATGGAGGCGGAAAAATGCTGTATCAGGTGTTGTATCAAATTGCGTAAATGCCCATTTGGGCTCTCATCTGGCGATTACAAATGAATCAGCGTGGATAACTATGGTTACCATACTTCTAATTTTTCTTAGATTTGTCTGAGTTTTGGTCCATCTGGTCAGATGTCATATTTTTCTGAATATGAATTCATTAACACAATTCATAAAGTCATAGCACAGCTGAGGTCTAAAACCAACACTGAAACCAACCAGGAATTTGGAAGTTTATTAAAGGCGTACAACATCGAAAACATCAGGCAGTCCTGGAATGGTATCCCAGGCTGCCCTTCATGGTATATCATGGCCAGAATAAGTACACGGTCCAATTTAATTTCAGCTGCTGGCCAATCAGCTGGTAACTGAAGCCGGCTTTATGTCAGTGATTTTGTCGAGCATGCTGATGCTGGTGTTTTAGCTGCCAATGTGAAATCGAGCAAGAGACACATTTTTCCTCACTATTGCCAAAATATCAACTGTCCAGACCATACCCCAGTTTAATCAATAATACATGCTCTCAAGTTCACAAAATATTTTTTTGGTTACTGTTCTTTTATGATTGTAACCCATTTGTAAGTCTAAGGATACATGTATTGAATATGCATACTTGTGAGAATCATAGGAAAACATTTTATGGGAAAAGTTAAATCTATGATTTTATAGAGAAAGGAGCACAAGGGCAGAGCCCTTAATTCACAATGAATTAACTGCAGTGGTAGGCTTTCTGTTTTCATACACAACTATTGAAGGAGCCATTTACAACTATTGAATGAGCTCCCTGTGCTTGTCCCTTACAAATAAGCAAAATAAAATAATAAAAAATGGCTCTTGCAGTGGCATAGACAGGGTTTGTTGTTCCATTCCATGTTGGTCCATTTTGTTGCCAATCATCCACAAAAAGGAGTCATCCAACAAACCATGCGAGTGGAAAGACAGACCCATTTCTTCAGCTACTTTCTGTAGTGCAGAGACTCCTAAGTGGCTTTGCGGGTAAAGGCACCGGCTACATTGCAGATTTAACCCCGAACCGAGCCATTACTTACTGGGTTTATACTATATACTCACAGGTAATGTGATCTGTTTAAAAGACCTATTAGGGAAAAGCACTGAACATTAGCATATGCTAAAAATGGGTTCTTTGAAATATATAATTTTGAATGATGTGCTTTGTGTGGTTTGGCTTTTTAAATATATACATATATATTCTACAGAAATACATTCTGTAAGATTCAACGTGTAAGTGCATAGGAAACTAAAAAATGTAATGCAAACTCCAATGTGCAGCAACAACATCGATGCTTGGTTTGTAGTAAGATCAGTTCTGTTTGAGTCCTTGTCCTCCTAGATGCTGGCATTTCCTCCATTTTCACTGCGTCTTGGGAATATTTTCCATGGCAACCATTTCAGAGCTAAACCGGAACTAATTAATGCTCTTTCTGTTTTGGAATATCCCCTCTCTGTTATAAATGGACTTGCATGACCGTTTTAGCGCTGTATATTATTTTACAGTTGCGACATTAACAAATGTGTATAATTTTCTGTTTTAAATGAGTATATTCCTAGACACAACTGTCAGTATGCTTAAACATATTGCTATGAACTGCGGCTTATTTGTGCATAAGTGTGTTATTGGTGGAAATCAAGGGAAAGTGTGCAAATGAAGGGAAATCTGTTTGTCACATATAAGAGATATATGT